AGCAATATCTGGAAAATCAACAGCAATATTCTATTTCTAGAACAACTGCAACCAATAACTATAACAACAACACTACAAAGACTAAAAATAACTTGAACACGTACAGTATTACCTAGAAACATTATTTATAGATTACTTTTCTTAACAAAGATACAGAGAGCTTCACAGACAGAAAATTCAAATAGTAAGACATACCAGAAATAATTAAAAGCAGAAAAGAACAAAAAAGTCAATTCACATACTGAGAAATCACTTCTTGTTTAACACGTTTTAAAAGAAAATAAAGAAATTGTCACTCAAAGCGGTCGGCTCCATTTCTCAGATCAGGTCAGGTGTAAATTCTTTGTGCTCATGATAAACAGATGCCATTCCTATAAACCAAACAACAGCATTTAGACAGTTTTATGATGTTGTTTCTGGACTAAAGCAGATAGGGAAGACACTGGGATTAAAACACTTAGCATGGCTAGAATTAGGATTGTTCTACCATGGAGTTTTCTGTTTTTCTGTATTTTGGTCTTAAAAAGGTACTGAAAAAATCTTTTGTTTGTTTATACTCTGTACCCCAGATACCCTGCTTTTTTCATGACTTTTTTAGGACCTTTTCTTGTTTTTCTGAATAAATTTCGACTTTAAATTCAGGTCTGTCTAAACAGACTTTTAAGCTCGATTCAGAGCTCAAAATTTCACAGTGCTCCTTTTTATCTTTGGGAAACATGATCAGTGAGCATCTTCAATAAGAGATAATTAAATCTGATATCAACTCAGTCCATTACACTTGTAATTAGGGCTGCCACAATTAGTCGAGTAGTCACGATTACGTCGACTATCAAAATCGACTGATTTAATAGTCGACGCGTCGTTTGAAGCTTTGTAAGATCACAAAAGACGCAGGAATAAGTAGTAGGATTTAAGAGTGTAATAACGGACTGAAAAAGAAGATGGCAGCACTGCATGTACAAGGATGCCAGCTGCCATTAAACCACAAAGAAGTAGCCTTGTCCCAGAATTCATAGCGCAGCCCAGCTCAGTTTCCAACAATGGCGGCATCTAGTTAGTTTTAATATTACTCTTATTATTCTTTCTGGGTCACAAAATAAACTTTTAACATATTTTTAGGTGTAAACCTCAAATATCAGCTCAGTTTATCAAAACACCACATATTTTCAAAATCGCTCCGACGCTTGTTACCCACTAGTTCGATAGCTAGCGGGGGGCAAGGCTTACTAGAGCCCGAGAGAACACCGGACTCCCGGCAAATCGTTTTCAAACCCACCGTGGTCTTTCGCTACTCAGGTTAAACATATAGGTCACTTAGATAACTTAAAAATGTTGTTGTTTGGCTTTTTGTTTGTATTTTATTTGTTCCTGAGTAAATCTGTTTGGCTGAGATTAAAGTTATAGTTTTTACACAGCTGAACAAATGTCAAGCAGACAGCTGATTATCAGAAGTGTGAGATGCTCGAGAATTTACTCCGGTGTCCTGTTATATTTTAGATAGCAAGGAGTTTGTTAAACTTCACCGAAACAATCTGCAAATTTCATTAAAATTTAATGAACTATCATCTTGTCTTTATTTTTAGTTAGCACATACCTTAAACACTTCAAGCTGTAAGCTAATGATAGTTACATAAGAGCAGATGCATGCTGGTGCAATAAGCTGTACGCTGTGCGTCCAATGGATGCATGATCTGATTAGTCGACTAATTGCAAAAATAATCGGTGACCAGTCGACTATCAAAATAATTGTTTGTGGCAGCCCTACTTGTAATTAACCAAAGGAAATCTTCATTGACTGGTTGGAGAGTGGGAATAATTTCAGTCTGTTGGTTGCAGAGAAAATCATTAAATCATTAAATCATATCAGCTTGACAGCTGGAGCCCGTGAAGCTTTGGCTCGAGGTTTTGTAAAAGAACTTGACCAAACATACTTAGTAGGGCTGGGCGATATATCGAGTTTTTTAAAAATATCGATATATTTTCATACGAGATATAAGATGTGACAATATCGTTTATATCGATATAGTCTATGTTACGTTATAATTATACTTGTGGAGCCGCAGGTTTGCCTCTCTTTCGTCCACTTTTGTCTCTACGCAACGTTACTCGGCCTCGCCTCTCCTTCACTGAACACAACTCCCCCTCCCCCATAGCTTCACCTGCAGGCAATGACAAGATGAAAACGGAAAATCTCCGTTAGCGAGTTACCGCGGATCGTCCCGTGCGTGGGGCTGGACGGCGCGTGCTAACGAGCTAACCGCGCTAACGAGCTAACGACATGCAGCCCGGAGGAGCTGCACGGCCTAAAATCCTTTCATTTTCTCAAAACTCGACAGTGCGCCTTATGTATGAATTCTGGTTGTGCTTACTGACCGCGAACCGATTTTATGTGGTACACAGCGCTCAGCAATCTGTCAAAAAATGTTTTAATATGACTTTGCTAAGCTACGGAGCTGCACCGCTTGATGGATTGTCAGAGGATTACGGCTACCGGGGAGGAGCCTCGCGGAGTGATACGTACTGTGCTTCAACGTAATATTACCGTACTGTGTGTGTATAAGGACCACAAATGGCACCTGTTCAGAGACGTGGTGCAGCTGTGAAATCTGTCTCTTTGTTATTATGCTCAGCGTCTATTAGTTTACATTTTGACTGCACAATTGTGAGCTTTTTGTTATGCACAAAAACAACAGTTTTCTTTTATTTATGGACCATGATTATTTAATAAATGCTGATAATTTATTTTTAAGTAATTTCTTCATGTACATCTACGCTGTATGTAAATAAAAGTGCCCGTGTGACATCTGGGACACAGTGTGACTAAGAACTCTCTTTTTGTTCTTAACTTATGGCTTTAAAAAAAAAAAATCGAGATATATCTTATATCGCCATCCAGCTAAAAAATATCGAGATATGAATTTTGGGTCATATCGCCCAGCCCTAATACTTAGAGATGTTTGGATGTTCGTGTGCTCAAAGTTAAAGCCTCAAGTGTTCAACACAAGCTTTGACAGAATACTCAAACACTGACAAGTTAGCTTAATGTTTTCTGCCTGCAATATGAAAATAGCTGCTCACTGCTGAAAATTCAATATATTAACATAAAAAAAACAGGTTTGTCATAGATCAAGTTAAAGACAATTCTACTTCATTTTATTTGAATGAAATGTTCCTCCCTCCCTCACTGAGTACACATAACACGAAGTAAAAAAAAAATAAAAATAGAAGTCAAGTTTGTTTTACAGTCTTGCCTATCAGTCTTTGTTCTCTCTTCTTATTTCAGCTGTTGCTCTGTCTGATCTCTTTTGTGTTCACGTGTTTATCGATAGCTTGCATGAGTTGACTTTTGTAATCCAAACACATTATATCAAAAGGCTGGATGGAGAACAAGGGATGAAAATGCTAAAAATCTGTTAGAAAGTTGGATACCTTGTCAACTCCCAAGTAAATGTTGAGTAAGCATTAAAAAAAGCTACAGGGAGCAGTCTTGGTGTACGATGGCCAAAGTTGTCAAAAGCCCGGGGTCTATTCAGTACACCCTGTTTTCTTTTTTTTTTTAAAGCAGTCTGTACCAACCTGCTGCAATAAGTAATGAGTCAGTTTCGGAAAGACTTCTGAAAGGAGCTGCATGATAAAACCTGTGGATGATACAGCACTGACGAGAGCCCTGATTTAAATATCCCTGGTTGTAGTCAATACATGGTTCAGATATCCAGAGACTTCTGAAGCAAAACCTTTTCCATCTGTGGATAATCTCACAGATGCAGAATTTATTTCCCTTAACAGTGACGGGGAGATTAAACAGGCACGATGGTTATGCTATGTTACTCACTGGTCCTGATTATTTTCCCAGAAGGAAAGCTGTTCTTTTATTATAATGGTGTTTCTTGAAATCTTGCGCTGCAGTCTCAGACTTCCTGAACAGAAACTTTTATTGTATGTTTGAAGGGCAAGAATGACAACATGTGCTAACGAGACACATTGTCACCCTCCTATGAAGTTTTTTCCCTGCTGTATTTGTCAGTCATGTGTCCAGATAAAACCGACAAAAACAAATCTCTGAATATCTTTTAAAATTTTGATTGAGGGAACGCCACAACAGATAATGTGATTCATTATATTAATTCATGAAGCTCTAGACCTTTGAGACCGTACCAAATAGAAGGACTAAATATAAAAATCGTTTTAGAAGAGAGCTTTTGGTCAACAAGATGTGACTGAGAGGAAGTAAACCTCTCAGGGTTTCCTCGATGAACCTGTGGAAGGATCATTAAGGTTTGCCTGCAGCTGCCTTTATCCCCAGATAGCTCAGGGCCCCTCGTGCTGTTTGCATTATGCAATAATTTACTGCTGGCTTTAGCTCTGTGTAGCTACAGTGGACCAGAGGCTCCAAAAACCTCCAAACCGCCTGATCAGGGAGTAAATCCTTACACGTGTCCCCACTACCATAACCCTTAACTTTTAAAGTTTAAGGAAATCCTCTATAAATAAAAGACACCTTACTTTAAGTTGAATAAATACACAATGAATAATACTAGCAGGCAGTCCACATTACAGCATTGCCCAAAACAACTCTGACTATGATTTTTTTTTTTTTTTTTCGAGTATCCATTATTTTTCTCAACCTTCAGTGACGTTAATCTGAAGAACTTTGGGTCTTGGAAAGTTGGCTGGTTAAATCAAGACATTGTGCTATGTCAGCTTGAGCAGTGGGAATATCTTTCCGACAACCATTGATTGAATTTGGGGTAGTTGATGTCAGTTGCAGCTCTGTATTTATTCATGCATGTGCTGGATATTTTTTAGGGTAGTTTAGAAACGCATAGTTAAACGTACAGGCTGATTCACCGAGTGAAAAACGAGCCTCATCGCTCGGTTAAAATGATTTGATTCTGTTGTTACGGCTCACAGTTTATTGTCCCGTTTAACTCTCTTCATTTCTCATCTTCTCCTCCTCCCTCTCCCCCCCTCCTACCCCTCCTCTTCCTCTCCCCTGTCAGATGATGAAGCATGCGTGGGACAGCTACAAGCAGTACGCCTGGGGTTCCAACGAGCTCAGGCCTGTCTCCAAGCACGGCCACTCCAGCAATCTATTTGGTGAGTGAGAGACCACGTATGTGTGCACGCCCAAACACGCGCACACCCAAGCACACACACACGCACGCGCGATTGATCTCTTGTCCCTGCCACCAGCAGCCTTGGCCTTTAGATTAGCAGCCAAATTGGCCGTCAGTTAGAGTCATCCATCTACACATGCCTCTAAATGTCAACTTTATCATATATTTATATTCTGTTTGTGCTTCTTGCCAGTTGTCAGTGTCTGTGCTCGTAATGAGTACGGTGATGCGGGGTGTTTTATTCTCTCTGTCTTCTTTTTTTTGTTTTGTTTTTCCCTCTCCTCGGTTTCACACTTTTGTAACTCTTCTCTGAAAGTCTTAATTGTCTGTCAGCCTTTCAGTTTTGAGGCTAGAATTACCACCTCTTGGTTGAATGTCTCCTCTCAGATCTGTCAAGTTTCAGTTTACATCCATGTCTCTCCACACTTAGAATACATGCAGTGAAGACTTTGAAGCAATTAAATAGGTGGGCACCAGAGATTAGTGTCACCAATTCAATAGCAGACTGAATGTGAAATATGATCCTTTCTGTTCCTTAGTGATAGTGGTAAATAAAGGCCAAAATAATGCTTTATGGCAGTCTCTGACCTTTCTCTTATGAGTCTGCTCAGTTCAGTTTTATTTATATAGTGCCGGTTCACAATAAATATGTCAGACCTACAGTATTAGAGATAAAGCACAAAGAGACAATCACCTCAGACCAGAACTCTGTAATGCCTCTTATTTTTTTCATTTGTATTTAGAAAAAAGACCCAGAGCCAATTTTATCCTATTAGTTTTTGTGCAAAATTTTTACCATAAGTACCATATACATTTTTGAGTTACTGCCAGAAATATTGTCAAAATTCTCACATGTAATCCTGACCTTTGACTATCAAAATCTAATCCAAATGAACACAAAGTAGTACAGTGATAGTAAATGTATTTATATTGCCCCCTTTAAGATTCAGATCACAAGGTCCTTTACATTAAATGCAACCCCAGAAAACCCCCCAAAAACCCCCCCCAATGAAACTGAATGTCCCAGCGCCAGTTTAAAAAGATGAGTCTTCAGCTGCTTTCTGCTCGAGTCCGTCGTAGACTGAACGGCAGAGAATTCCTAAAATTGCAAATTCCCTCTAATCTTTAGTTTCTTAGTGTACATTAGTGTACCCTGATCAGACCTAAGAGCTGCTAACATATCGCTGCACAGATCTTGGCTGCGTTTAACTGGACTCAGAAAGACAGTATACTGACAGTATACTGCTACTGATGATAACACATTTAAAAATAGGAATATGATAATATTGCAAACAATCCAGTGGCAACACAGTTATAGTTACATCCTCACTACTAAGTTCATCACAGCTCTCTTCTCTTGATTGATAGCACTTTAAAAACAATTCTTCATTGCAATCTTTCAATAAAAATGGTCATTATCTATACTGTATATTCTTTTAGCCATGCTAGTCATACAATGAAAATCTGAACTGTGACAGCTTTATTAATGTTAAATGGAAGTGAAGCATACATCATTTCTGGAGGTGTTTGTGTGAGCTCTGTCTGTATGCGCCACGATAACTTTAATTAATTGCGACCGATTGAATAAACGGGAGCAGAGACTGTGTTTTTAATTTAAGGTCTTTCTCTCTTTTGTCCTAATAACCCCAGGGTGTTTGTTTGGAGTCCTTTAGCTGTTCATATGTAGGTGGTGTATGACGGTTTAGTTATTGTGAGCTTTTGATAAGATGACAGCCCCGTGTGACAGAGGTAGCTGAGCCTCTTCTGCTGATAAGGTTGATGCCACGATACTCTCTAGCTTGATCTGGTTTGAAGTTTTCCTGCACTCTTGCATTTTCTTTCTTTAAAAGTTGCCCTCTAATGTCACGGTGCAGTGAAGGCTTTTCATTTTTAATTCCCTCGATAATTTCAAGTAAACTCCCTGTAATTAAGAAAAGAATGAATGTTAAATGGGTGTGTCAGCTGAGTGGAAGGAAACTGAATAATTGAAGTGTTGTTTAAACTGATATAAATTAATTATTTTTTCACTCAGAAGCAGCTGTAAAAGCTGTAAACAGAACAGTGACGCGTAGATTTAACATCTAGTGGGTGTTTGTCAGTTTGCCCTCTTCGTTCCTAGGGTGGTGTAAAGCTTTAACAATCAACCTGTATCCCCTCCCGTCAGATCTATCTGTTTTGGGGCAATATTTCCAGTTGTTGGTATTTAAAGCGGACTATGTTATGTGGATCCGGTGCATAAGTAGGACACAGCAAAGCTATTGCATGCATTTAGTACTCCTTTTCCTCTGTTTTTATATTTTGAGGTTATTTTCCCTTAATATTGGCTTTAAAAATCAAAGCTAGGAGCAAAAGATGCTAATATACTCTGCTGAGCTGAGACTAACCAGATAGATTACATAAGGAGAAGACATGGCGCTCAAAGATTCCTGACCTGGAATCTATGGGAGGATTCTGCAGCGCAGATGGAGGGAGAAGTCTAACTTCATGTGAAGGTGGATTAAAAAAACAAAACTTTTTAAAACCTTATTTTGGGGGACACTCTGCAAACTTTTGAAGAAGTTTTCATCCGATTCGACTGATTCTATACATGCAGTTTTCAAACCCTGACGACAATTGAAATAAATTTAACTTAACCTAGAAGAAGTGCCTGAGGTAGTTTAATGGCTGCTGGGTTGCCTCTGGAAGGTCTTGTGGGGTAAACTGCAGATTTGGCTTCTCAACTACAGCTGGTTTCATAATATATTGAGAAATTATTCCACTGTTAAAAATGTGAGACAGTGAGAGGGGTTTTAAATTGTAATTGTAATTTCCTATTTGTTTTAAATAAAATAAGTTGTACTTCCTCAGGAATGATATTTTGGCCAACGAGTGCTATTTCTGAATGAAATAAAAACCTGGTACAGTTGTGAATATTACTGCACCACTTGTCCACAACTGTTTTGTTCTGTTGCATTACATTTACAGGAGCTGTGGTTATTTCGTTTTTTTCTGCACACAGTTTTATGCAGAGTATAAAAAATAAAGAAAGTGAGGTTTTCTTGCTCCTTCTAAGCAGAACTTCTGAAATTTTTCTGTTCTATTCTGTTCTATTAGCAAAAAACGACAACCAGAGATTGGCTCTTATTTAAATATTTGGCCGGAAATATAAATCGTAGCATATCAAATGTAGACTTGGCCCTGTAAGACAGCGTTTTTCATTTTAGATTATGCCACTTTGAGTTTTTGCCTCAAAAACCCCCCTCAAAGTCTTTTTCAGTACACAGTCAGGAAGATTTGAAGCTAATTTTTAATGATTGCCTTCTTATGTTTAATGAGGAAATTCAATCAGCTTTGTGTAAATTTCATCTACAGTTTCATTACTGAAATTTATCAAACGTAAACGTAGGACTAGGGAGGAAGCTGCTGTGTGAATATTAATTGTCAGATCACCTCTTAGAGTTGGTCTTTCTACGTGTTTCTCTCTTTCTCTATCCGTCCCTGTGTCTGTGTGATAGAAAAGTAAATAGGTTTTAGTTGGTAGCTCCAGTAGACCCACTTCCATCAGTAAATAAGACAGCTTGGCCCCAGGGCCTTGTCACTGCCTTTTCCAGCTCCTATAGAACATGATGTAGGACGATGATATTAGCCTGACCTGAAATATTATGCAATGAAGCCACACACCTAAGGCTGCTTCCATGATATATATACTCTTACTTGGATTGCTGAGTCAAACTAGCCAGGAGAGGTGTCAATTAGAAGGATGACAATGTCCTCTCAAAATCAACAATAAGAGCACAAGAAGTATTACGAGACCTACTCTGTGTTTTCCTCGAGACAGGATTTAAAGGATTATAAATTACTCATGGTTATTCTTTGCCTAATACCACTTAATGTTAATGCACTTTAGCGTGTTGCGTAAGCGTGACAACTGTCAGAGGGATAAAAATGAAACTTCCAGCTGCCCGTTTTATTTTGGTGGTGTTCGACTTTCTGGCTCAGAAATTGTCACAGCGGGTTTGAAACCAACAGTGGTTTAAACCTTTCCGATTGTCCCATTTATAATAAACGTTAGGACTGCAACTTTAAATGATTGTAATATTGTTCTGCCTCCAAAATCTTTATTAGCCATCCATAATGTTGTGCATGGTACTGTCAAAGCACAATATAGATCATTGTTCAGGAGTTTAAAAAAAATATACAATAAATTGACATTCTGATCCTTTTTTGTGAGTTGGGCTCATGTGGGTCTAAATATGTGTTTTTGAACAGTGCGATGTCTTGGATAACGCACATTTTATTTCTGTCAAGCTGTTCAGTGGAAGAAGCCTCCAGATGGGTTGGTTCTACTTTGGGGAAAGTTGGATGCGTCTCCTCTGTGGTCACTCCCTGAAGCAACAAGACTCCTTGGTCTCAGACGCCAGCTGTGCTGTCAGCTGTTTCCACTGTATCGAATGTGTTTGGCTGGATGTTGCGGCACTTTTGGGATATATTGCAGTGCTTTTGTTTGTCCGCGTAAAAATCTTAGTGTACAAAATTTGAAGAGCTTGAAAAAAGAGGGCAACTGGACTTCTTTGAGTTTTGTGAAGACGTGTCAACTCTCATCCAACCCAAAAGACCAGGCCTCTCGGTCTTCTGGGGACCTTTGATAACACTGTGATGGCTTCTGCAGTCTTTTATGCAGTGGTCTGCTGGGAGGTGGCAGCACAGAGAGGGGCAGGAAAGAACTTGTAGACTGAAGAGGGCCAGCTCTGTCCTGGCCTGTCCCCTAGACTAGACCGCAGAGGAGGAGGGGGGAATGAAGTTTAGCCAACCTAATGTCCATTATGGACAACACCTCTCATCCCTGCATGAGACTGTGGGGAGGCCCTGAGCACCTCCTTCAGCAGCAGATTGTTAGAGCCATGGTGTAGGACAGAGCAATCAGACATAGGATAAACACCTGCTAAAATATGTGTATATATTATAATTCCCACTGCACCTTATGCACTATAAAGAATTTCA